TAAATACCTCTCCTAAACACACGAAAGGCATTTCTAAATTTAAGAGGCCCACATCAGCAGGTAAACATCCCCCATAAATGCTCCTGACACTTGAAATCCCCAAGTTCAGGAAGGACTGGTCACAGGAAGTCCCACCCAAGCACCACAAAGCCAGGGCCAGGGGACAGCAGCCTCCTATAATCTTGAGAGAAAACCCTCCTGAATCCCAAAATATGTACAGTTGGGCCTTTCTACTGAGCCCATTTTACAAACACAACATCCCCCCGCTCAGGCCCTGTGTGAACGGGGGTCCCAGACACCTATGCACACGGGGATCTGGGCCGTGGGAAATGGGAGAGCCCAGACTCCAGATTCTCCCCAAAATTTCCCACTCAAACAATGCCAAGACTCTTGCAGGCCCCTACCTCACAAACAAAACAAACAGAGACCTGTGTCCTAGGTTTTGCTGTATCTTGCCACAAGATTTCACTCTTTTCCATGATTTTGATTTTACTAGTTCTCCCCGCAGCCTTGGTGGCTGTCAGGACACCCCAAAAGGGAACACAGGATGTCGTGGGCTACAGCTAAGAGGTTCCGTTTTTAAAAAGAAATAAAAGATACAACTGCAATGTTAAAAAATAATAAAACCTTATTTTGAAAACAAATATTATCACTTGCCAACAAAGCCTTTTGGATGACCAAGCGGTGTGGCAGGAAGGGTGCCCTCACCCCCAGGATCCCCTCCCTGTCTGTCCTATACTGGCCTGGCGGGGCCATCTGGACCGAGGACTGCCTGTGTGGGCAGTGGCACAGCGGGCTTCCTATGGCCTTCCCACAGCGCACGGGGCCCTGGCGGCCGTCATCTCACTCCTCGGGGTGTCCGTGACAAGAAGCCATGAGTAGGGCTCCTAGTCTGGCCGCTCCGGGCGCCCACAGCCAGGGCAAGCTGTCGCACAGATTCCAGGCAGACATCCCTGTACAGGCCTCTGAGGGGAAGTGTGCCCACCCTGTGAGTTCTGAACACATCCACCTAGTGCTTCCTCTGGGCCACGCCTGCCACAAGTCACAAAAACACCTAGCGCCACCAGAAGAGTGTTTGAGGGCCTGTGTGCACTCCTGTGAGTCCTATCAGCCTCCCACATTCACCCAAGCACAGGATTTGGGGAGACGACTCTAGCAGACCTCACGGGGGGCCCCCGTGGACCCTCGAAGCTCAGGTGCCCACGAGCTGTGGACCCACCCTCCCTCGCACAGTTCCGATTTTTCTCACTTCCATTTTCTGACCTTGCTGGGAGACAAAGGCTGACAAGGCCTGGCCTGAGGAGGCCTCATCCGGCCTCTGGCCCCAAACTAGGCCACCTCTCCAAGACTCAGTCTTCAGAAGAAATAAATCACAGAAGGAAAAAAACTTGAGAAAGTTTAACCTCAACTCAACAAAGAAAGCCAGAAGTGCCCACGGAAATTTCCCAAGAGCCAAGAGTCGGGCACCTTCTTCTTTCTTCTGTAAATCTCTATCTCTGACTAGATGTCCAGGGCCTACAATTCCCAGACCCAGGGATTCCACCGATTGTCCCAACCAACGGGACAATGGTCAGCCCCGAAAATAAATATTTCATATAAAAGACCCATTGTTTCTGGCTAGAAACAATTGTCACTTTTTCTCCCTCTGTGGCTCTATCCCATCAGAAGGCTCTGCAGGGCCGTGGAGGGTTCCTTCGTGCTCTTAGGACAGGTTCAGAAAGGGACAGCAGCCACATGTTCCTGGATGGCCCACCATGAGATAAAACCCTCCAAAGCCAGCCACGTGGTCACTGTGCTCCTCTTCCACAGAGTGAAGGACAATTGGCTCACTGGGGTGGCAGCGCTCTCCCATAAAGTGTCACCATGTGCCCAGCAGGGACAAAGGCAGCTGGTGCAGCCACCCTGGACCCTGGAGAGGAGTGAATGCTGGGCCCAAGCCCTGCACTCTGCCCTTGGCACGTCCGTGTCCCATACCTACGGTGAGCTACAAGTTATATGCAGGAGGTCCTGTCTGCAGCGAGTGCCCAGGGAGAGGAAAACACCGGCATGGCGAAGTTCACCTCTGCCTGGCCGTCCCTTACGGCCACCGGGTCCACATCTGCCACCACCTGCCGGGGAGGGATATGAACAACTTGTTGCCCATGCTCAGGAAACCAAAACTGGGATCTTTGTTTCTCAGAATATAACACCATACCATGAAATAATAGCAAGTGCGACAATGAACAAAATATATTAGTAACTAGAGTCATTGTTATTTATCGCAGGGCCAGAACAGCAGCCATTTAATGCCCCCAGACACAGTGCCAGGAGCCACACAGAGATAACGCTATTTGGATGATGTTGGCATCTGTACCCCTGCCCTAGGGCTCAGGGGACTGCTGGCCCATGGAGGTCCAGGATTCGCCCAGGGTTGAACAGCAAGCCAGGGGAAGGGACAGACTCGAGCTTTGGGAGCTGAGGAGCCGTGGTGCTCGGGCTGCAGGCCCTGCTGTGAACATGGATGCACCTACATGCTGAAACTGCTGTGTGTCCTCCTCCCTAACGAACACATGCACCCTAAAAACCCAGCCACGGCAACACACAAGCAAGCGGCCACTGCTTCTCATTCCTTCGTTCCAGAACACCGTCCCTCGCTAGGCACCCAAGAGGCCCCACCGAACAGACAGGCACACCTGCCGAGCGGGTGCCCATCTGGGTGGGCAAAGACCTCTCAAGCCCTCTCCATTGCCTCCTGATATGACCTCATCCATGCCGGGCTGGGACAGGCTCCAGGGCCAGAGCAGGGATTTTACTGAGAGGCTGCCCGGCCAGCTGCAAACCACATGGCTGCGGACGGAAAGCGACCCCTCTGCAGAGCCCCACGCTGGCCTTGCTGGGCACAGCCAACGGCTGGCTGCACCTGCTTGGGTGGTGGGCAGGAGACCCAGCCTTGGTGGGGCCGCCAGTGGGCCTCATGGCTGAGCTGAGGCGCGCCCTTGCTGGCGACCTGGTAAGCCCGCACCCAAGCAAGCCTGCGACACGGGAAGGACCTGGCACAGGCATGGGGCACCTCGGCTTGGCCCTGTTTAACACAAAAACTGAGGGCTGTCCTCCCACCAGCCCCCACAGCAGTCCGCTCCTGTGGGGCCCTGTGTACCCCTGTCCATTACATAAAACCCAGCCTGAGAAAAATCAAACAAGCACCACTTTCATTTCTGGGGCCTCCTCTTTTGTGGGTGTGTGTCCTCAAAAATGAACGTGGAGATGGTGTATTCCAGCATGGGAAGGTGCCCTAACCAGGCGCACTATGCATGGAAGACTCAACCTTCTGTGGACCCGGGATGTTCAGGCAGCGCTGACAAAAAACAACCTCGCTCTGAGGCCTCCTGGGGCCTGCCACCTCCTTGGATGCTCAGCTTTGCTGCTTGCTGCGGAAGAAGCCCACTGACCTGGGGAGAAGGAGAAACGGTGCTCCTTGTGTTGAGGGCTGTATCAATCCTGAGCAACGCCCAGTGGCCTTAGCCGGACACCACGCCACTGCTGCCCGGCAAGCACCACGGCCCTGGCTTCCTGCAGACCAGGGACCTCATCTCCAGCATTCTCTAAGTGAGGCCACGCTGGACCCTGAGCTTTATATGTACGATCTCACCACGGCAAGGACCATGCCCCGCAGCAGCTCCGGCAGACCACCGGCACACCTCCCACAGTGGCACCTTCGCTTCCGAGGTCAACCCTGAAGGTCCCACCCTGCTTCGTGTCTGCCAGCTGCCTCTGAGAAAATCATAGCTGAAAATTTAGAACGGTGTGGAGGGCAGGCTGGAGAAAGCAGGCCAGCAGAAAGACGGCCAGGGTTAGTCCTGTGAAGGTAAAACAAGCTTCCAGCCTCTGCCACAGCCAGCAGGCACGTGCTGAAAAGGTCTGCTCACCCCAGGGCTCCTGCCTGCACCAGAGCAAGGCCAGCTGCCTCAGGCCCTCTCCACATCCCTGCACTGCTGGCCCAGACTCTGGGGTGCTAGGGAAAGGGGGCTCCACCACGGCTGCGGTGAAAGTACCCAGCCTAGTTAAGCAAACCACATCAACAGGGTGAGAAGAGCAGAGAAAAAAATCGCACCTGTGGCCCAGTCGTACAAAAAATTAGCAGGCTTATGCCCACTGGCTATGGGTTTCATTTTAATCCAGCATAGGTGCACATATTTTTCAAATCCCAAATAGTCAGAACTGATGAGCTAAAATAAAATGAAGCTATTGCCGGCCTACAGAGACTGCCTTGGTTTTCGAAACCCAACTCTGAAGAAATTAATTTCAGTGTTCCCTTAAAACCCTATAATTAGGGCAGGCAAGCATTCCTTCACCCCTTTCTTGCTCCCCACAACCTCCGGGGGGGGGGCTGGCCAGGCCTGTGCTCAAGCCACCTATAAATGGGCATTTATTAGGAAAAGTTATGAGTTGTTTTTCGTTTTATGTTGCCATAAGCAACAGCTTCCACGCTAGGCCCTTTGGTCCAAGGCCGGCTGCCCCTAACACTGGACCAATCGGCCCTCCGAACGGCCCCACCAGTATAAAAAAGAAAAAAGGAGGAAGAGGAGGAGAAGAAGAAGGAGGAGAAGGAGAAGGAGGAGAAGGAGGAGAAGGAGGACCATTTAGGAAGCAAATAAAAGGTAAATCAAATAGTTTAATTTTTCAAGGGCCGTGGCTCCAAATAACCTTCCCAAACACATCTCAACCCGAACAGATATTTCCCCCATTGTTTAAGGTGCCTGCTAGTGTTCATTTTTGTGGTTAACAAATTCCTCTCTAGCTAGCTGTCTGCACACCTGAGCGCCGAAACTGGTGCATTTCACAAATTCCAAGTTCCGGACTGAGGACCACCGGGAGTTCTTGCAGGCTGGCGCGGCTTCGGGTTCCCAGACAACCTCCGTCCGCGCCCGGGACTTGGGAAGGCCTGCCGCGCAGAAGGGCCCCTTCGAGGTCCCTTCATTAATATTTAAATACAAAGTAGCGAAAGTGAGAAATGCACTTACCGCCCTTCAGTGTCGCGGGGAAGCCGATCGCACCCGCGCCGCGTAGGTCCACGGCAATGCCCTCGCCGGTCAGGCGCTGCGCTCCCGTGCCCACGGCGCGCAGGCCCTTAGCCGCGTTCCGGTGTCCGGCGCTCGCCGCCTCCCGAGCGGGAACTGCGGGGCGCAGCGCAGCACGGCTCCCGCAACTCCCGGCACGGCCGTCCCCGAGCGCACGCGTCTCCAGGCCCGGCTCCGGCGCTACGCGCTTGGTGCCTCAGGCGGCCTGCAGTCCCGGGTCCCCGCATCTGCGCCCGGCGCCACCAGGGACCTTTGTCCCAGACGAAAACGAAAGCGCGCCGGCCCCAGGGCGCCCACGCCCTGCCGCGGAGGGCCCGGCCCGCGCACCCCGAGACTTTCTCCAAGTTCGCGTGCATCGGGCGGCCGCGTGCGGGACTGCGGCGCGACTGTCGGGCAGCGCGGCGAACTCGGGGCGCGGGCCGGGCACAATGGGCGT